TAACGGGTGTATGTATGCTTGCTACTGGTCATGTGTTCTCAATTATATCCCAGCTCGCTGTTTCTGTGTCACTCCGACCTTCCAGTGTGAAAGTAGTGTCTACCACGTATGCCCTGCCTGCTGTATGACAGCGTTCAGGCTATGGGAGCCTGTGTGTGTGTCTGTATCTGTGTAAATCTGTATATGTGTGTGTCTGTATATGTGTGTGTTTGTGTGTATCTGAATCTGTGTGTCTGTATATGTGTGTGTTTGTGTATATCTGTATCTGTGTATGTCTGTATATGTGTGTATCTGAATGTGTGTCTGTATATGTGTGTCTGTGTGTATCTGTATATGTGTATATATGTATCTGTCCATAGCTGTATATGTGTGTGTGTCTGTATATGTGTGTGTCTGTACATGTGTGTGTATGTGAGTATCTGTATATGTGTGTATCTGTATATGTGTGTATCTGTATATGCATTTAACTGTATATATGTGTGTCTGTATCTGTGTGTATCTGTATCTGTGTGTATCTGTATATGTATGTTGTACTGTATATGTCTGTATCTGTATCTGTATACTGTATGTGTATAATCTGTATCTGTATCTGTGTATATCTGTATATGTTTGTATCTCTATCTGTATCTGTCTCTATCTGTGTATCTGTATATCTGTATGTGTGTATCTCTATCTCTGTATCTCTGTATGTATCTGTATATCTGTATCTCTATCTCTGTGTATCTGTATATCTGTGTATCTGTGTATTGTCTCTCTCTATATCTCTGTGTGTATCTGTATGTGTCTGTGTGTATCTCTATCTCTATCTGTTCTGTGTGTGTGTATCTGTATTTGTGTGTGTGTGTATCTCTATCTCTGTATCTGTGTGTATCTGTATATGTGTGTGTATCTCTATCTCTGTATCTGTGTGTATCTGTATATGTGTGTATCTCTATCTCTGTATCTGTGTGTATCTGTATCTGTGTGTATCTCTATCTCTGTATCTGTGTGTGTATATGTGTGTATCTCTATATCTATCTCTGTATCTGTGTATGTGTATCTGTATATGTGTGTATCTCTATCTCTGTATCTGTGTGTATCTGTATCTGTGTGTATCTCTATCTCTGTATCTGTGTGTGTATCTGTATATGTGTGTATCTCTATCTCTGTATCTGTGTGTGTATCTGTATATGTGTGTATCTCTATCTCTGTATCTGTGTGTATCTGTATCTGTGTGTGTGTCTCTATCTCTGTATCTGTGTGTATATCTGTATGTGTATATGTGTATGTGTATCTCTCTATCTCTGTCTCTGTATCTGTGTGTATCTCTATCTGTATCTGTATGTATCTGTATATGTGTGTATCTCCTATCTCTATCTCTGTGTGTATCTGTGTGTATCTGTATCTGTGTGTATCTCTATCTCTGTATCTGTGTGTGTATCTGTATGTGTGTATCTGCATCTCTATCTCTGTATCTGTCTGTGTATCTGTGTGTATCTGTATCTGTGTCTGTGTGTCTGTGTGTGTGTGTGTATCTCTATCTCTGTATCTGTGTGTGTATATGTGTGTCTCTCTATCTCTGTATCTGTGTGTATCTGTGTGTGTGTGTATCTGTATATCTGTGTGTGTATCTTGTGTGTATCTCTATCTCTATATCTGTGTGTATCTGTATATGTGTGTATCTCTATCTCTGTATCTGTGTGTATATCTGTATTTGTGTGTGTCTGTATATGTGTGTATCTCTATCTCTGTATCTGTGTGTGTATCTGTATCTGTGTATCTCTATCTGTATATGTGTGTATCTGTATATGTGTGTGCATCTCTATCTCTGTATCTGTGTATATCTATCTGTATATGTGTGTATCTCTATCTCTGTATCTGTGTGTGTATCTGTATCTGTGTGTGTATCTCTATCTCTGTGTGTGTATCTGTATATGTGTGTATCTCTATCTCTGTATCTGTGTGTATCTGTATATGTGTGTATCTCTATCTCTGTATCTGTGTGTATCTGTATATGTGTGTATCTCTATCTCTGTATCTGTGTGTATATCTGTATTTATGTGTGTCTGTATATGTGTGTATCTCTGTATCTCTGTGTGTATCTGTATCTGTGTGTATCTCTATCTCTGTATCTCTGTGTGTATCTGTATATGTGTGTATCTCTCGTGTGTGTTGTACCTGCTTATACAGTCACAAGTTTGCATCTCTTTTCATATGTAATTAAAAATTGTACCAGCTGCTGACAAAACATATCGATAACCCTCGTTTTGATCAAGTTACTAAACAACAATAATTAACAGATGTGCCATACATTTAACTTGGTATCATACAGAGACTGACACGACTGTCCAACTTAGCACAGGGTGTATCTTGATCGCAAGTGACAAGTACGCCTTTGCACGGCCAGTGCTCTAAGTTGCACGCGCAACACGACATGTTTTAGCTTGATCACGTCCTCCGTCGCTATTGATACAGTCAAAACTCTTAAGGCTCCGTTGCCAGAGCTGTCGTTGTGGGGAGCTCAGGAAGAGCGATATTTGCGGTGGGAATAGTCTTTTTGAACTCGTCTCGTTGACCAGGTGTTGGTGATACGTTGGTGAAGATCATCAATCCCTACAATATCCAGGTAGGGTTAAGCCAGTGGATTGCTTTTAGATAATTCGAAGTGCTCATTATAATTATCATTTTCATGGTTAGATCAGTCTAGAAGTAATACAACAATGACTCACTGGCTTATTCTTTCTCACCGATCGGCGGATAACATCAAGTACAAATATATATTTTCAATGGAACTGATTCCGCGTATATGTTTTTGGCGAGAATAATGACATTCATCTTCATCAGTGGCACTGGAGTGAGTGAGTGAATGTGTTTTGTTTTGTTTTATTTATTTGTTTCGTTTATTGGTTCCCGAGATTTAATATCACAGATATACAAACCCGTGATGCATACAGCTCAGAGTAATACAGAGACGTGATTGGCAGGTATGATACCAATATATTGATATATTCCTTAAACGTAATTTTTATTAATGATGTCAGGTACAAATTGATACAGTATGGAGTCATGTAAGTACCGGGGATAGAAGGCTCCATATGTGATTGAAATTATTTACTTTATTATTTTTTTGTTGATCTATGATTTTCCATAAAGAATATTTCTTTTAGAGTTGTTATTTATAAAGTTAGATTTAAAATCATATTTATAATACCGCAAGTGTAAATAAATAATGTCCCTTCGCAGCAATGATGATGTGTATTCTATTTGCATGTGGAGTACCAAACCATCTGTTTTGATAATATCAATGGATGAGAATATTAATTGTTAAGCCAAATTTGTAGGTTTATCCAAAAAGTTTGTGTCTCCTGACATTCCCAGTACACATGACACACACTCGCATTTACATTGCTGCAAAAACAACACAAACTGTTATCAACTATTTTCATTTTGACCAATTCCCTTTTTGTATAAATAATACCTTGTAGAAATCTATATTGAAAGTCTATAAGCTTTGTATCATGTAATCCCTTTCTACATACTGTAAACATATTTTTCCAATCAAAGTCAGTTTCAGGTAATAAAAGCTGCCATTTAGTACAAATGTTTGGATATTTATCATTGAATAAGATTATCATAAAAAAATCCGGTTCGTACACTCAGGCAAATCCGCCTACATGGTTTGGTATGCTCTGGCTATCGACCGATCAGAATTCGACAAATTTATCTTACGGGTAATAAATGTTTCTGCCATAGTCGGGATCGTTCAATGTCGCTGTGATATAAACTTAAACAAAGAACAAGCTTGAGTCAACTTGTACCTCATAGTTGGAGGTGCAGCAATGCGTTGTACACCCTATGTTCCTCCTTAGAGACAGACACCAGTTATTGTGGTTTCGAGAGCCGTTGTCGCATTTAATAATGTTTCCTTCTCCAAACATTCCATTTTCGTTTGTTTCACTAAAGTGGTAAATGTCTCAAGACCGGCATCATTTAGAATTTGCCGTCATATCCGTACTTTAAACTTAAAATCAGCATTAAACCACGTCTGTTTTCTGCATTTACCAAAAGCACCTGTTGTGTCACGAGAAAATAACAGACATTCCCGTGAAGAAGCTTTATCTGCCAATTTGTGAAGATCCCCGTGCAGATCCGCTTTAGAAATTGTCTTCAGCAACTCACGCTTTCATGAGGCGGGTGACGGGAGAGGGCATTATCGTGTCCTAGTTGCATAGGTAGAAGCTGTTAATGTACATTAACCACTAAAACTGTGACCATCCGTGCAGGTAGCATGTTTGTTTGTTTGTTTGTTTTACTGCGAACTCCGCACTTTTCCGCTTTGTGACTGACATCTATAAATCATCTGGCATTTGGCATCCTAACCATCGATCTACGCAAATAGGATTCGATGACATGCATCGACCAAGTCAGCGAGTCTGCCCACGTGGTCCCGTTAGTGGTCTTACCACAAGCATGGGTTGCTGATCTAACCTGGATCAACACGGGTGCTGGCGATCTGACTTCAGTCTATAATTCGATTTCCTAAGTCTCTGCGGCCACTTGAAGTAATATTTAAGAAAGAAGTCAGCTGGCGATATGACCTCATTCTGAAATTCTATGCCAGGTAGTCACAGGGCCGTTGGGTAAGGTGGTGAGGTTAAATGGGGTTTAACGTCGTGCTTGAGAATATTTCGCTTATATGACGAAGTGCATGCGTGTGTATGTGTATGTGCGGCTGCTTTACTAGCCCAGACTGAAGCTGGTTTTATAGTGCTAGCCCACTGAGATACCCTGCAGCAGTGAAGCATGATTACCCCACTCAGACACATTATACTGACTCCGTGCCGACCAGTCCTTGATGTACCCATTAATGCCGAGCGCCAGGCGGGGACCATATTTTAAAGTCTTTTGGTATGACTCGGTCGGGGGTCGAACCCGCGACCTTCCGCTCTCCGCGCGGACGCTCTAACCACTACACGACTAACACCAGTGACATGATTCTTACTTGTATTATTTCGTTGCAGTGAGGTGACCAAACTGCGCGGACGGTGAAGATTATTATAAGTTCCACTGACCACTGATGACCTGATGCTTTGAGCAAATGAGGACGCAAGCAATAGCAGTCAGATTTTGTCGTTAACAGACAAACGGATTAAGACGGATCATTCCAAATCGGATGCCATTTCATGTGTTTGTGGTGACTTTCAACAACTGCCTTTGTGATTCAGGACTGAGGTGGTGATCAGTTTTATTTCAAAATGGCGTTGCGATTGTCCGGTTTGGCGCAGGTGCAGCTGTGGATTGGCATCACCATTGGACTTGTTGTCGCCTTTCTGGTCACTAGCATTAGTCGAGTATCTCCTATCACCAGTTTCGGGTTCAGTTCGGAGCAGCTGAATCCCAGACACATCGGACAAACAGTCAACACCATGACTGCCGGGACGGCCGGTGTACCTGCTTCTGGTCCAAAGGGAGAGAATCTTCATGAAGAGTTTGAAAAACACGTTGAAAAACACAAGGCCGGGAACGTCAAATTTGAAGATAAACACGTACATCACGGTAAGTAGTAAAAGCGAGTGAATGAATGTTTTGTGTGTTTTTAACTAGTTATTTTAGCAGAACCGTTATAGTAAGTATTCCTATGGGCCGGGAAAACCAGGTGTGTCATGAACGACCAGAGTCATATCCGTGAGTCCGAGGTAGAAGTGGTCTTCACCAACCCAGGCTTGTAAGAGGCGACTAACGGGATTGGGTGGACACACTCGAGGGATAGAAATACATGTTTTTCGAAAGGTACAATTGGCTACCGACAGATATGCCCTTCTACGTGTGCCCTTGTGATAATAAGTGTGACCATCGATGTTCATGATATCAATCACTGGATCGTCATCCCCGCACTCAGACCGCCGCCATACAGCTGGAAAATTTCTGAGTGCGGCGTTAAACTATCAACCAACATACGTGAATGGATTTTATGGATTTTCTGAATTTGTACATTGCTTGGTACATTATTTTGTTCAAATCCATACTTGAGGGAGAAATAGATTTAACGAAAAAAACAAATTTGAATACTATACAAATTGATGAAATGCGATGTGTGTTTGATACGATGTGTGTTGCTGCTTAGCCAAAATGATGAGGGCAAAATATTCCGCATCAACAAATGGTTACGTCATATGATCTGATTACTTACTGAACAAAAAAGGGATCCTGAATATTTTTGAAGATGCTTGCATGAAGCCTACACCACAAACAGATTGTAAGGGATCGTAAATACATTTGGGGTTATATACCCCAAAATGGTCACGATACCTTAATTACTGGTGACCCGTGAAGATCCGGGTTAGAATTGGTCTTCAGCAACCCATGCTTGTCATGAGGCGGGTGACGGGAGAGGGCATTATCGTGTCCTAGTTGCATAGGTAGAAGCTGTTAATGTACATTAACCACTAAAACTGTGACCATCCGTGCAGGTAGCATGTTTGTTTGTTTGTTTGTTTTACTGCGAACTCCGCACTTTTCCGCTTTGTGACTGACATCTATAAATCATCTGGCATTTGGCATCCTAACCATCGATCTACGCAAATAGGATTCGATGACATGCATCGACCAAGTCAGCGAGTCTGCCCACGTGGTCCCGTTAGTGGTCTTACGACAAGCATGGGTTGCTGATCTAACCTGGATCAACACGGGTGCTGGCGATCTGACTTCAGTCTATAATTTGATTTCCTAAGTCTCTGCGGCCACTTGAAGTAATATTTAAGAAAGAAGTCAGCTGGCGATATGACCTCATTCTGAAATTCTATGCCAGGTAGTCACAGGGCCGTTGGGTAAGGTGGTGAGGTGAAATTGGGTTTAACGTCGTGCTTGAGAATATTTCGCTTATATGACGAAGTGCATGCGTGTATGTGTATGTGCGGCTGCTTTAACTAACCCAGACTGAAGCTGGTTTTATAGTGCTAGCCCACTGAGATACCCTGCAGCAGTGAAGCATGATTACCCCACTCAGACACATTATACTGACTCCGTGCCGACCAGTCCTTGATGTACCCATTAATGCCGAGCGCCAGGCGGGGACCATATTTTAAAGTCTTTTGGTATGACTCGGTCGGGGGTCGAACCCGCGACCTTCCGCTCTCCGCGCGGACGCTCTAACCACTACACGACTAACACCAGTGACATGATTCTTACTTGTATTATTTCGTTGCAGTGAGGTGACCAAACTGCGCGGACGGTGAAGATTATTATAAGTTCCACTGACCACTGATGACCTGATGCTTTGAGCAAATGAGGACGCAAGCAATAGCAGTCAGATTTTGTCGTTAACAGACAAACGGATTAAGACGGATCATTCCAAATCGGATGCCATTTCATGTGTTTGTGGTGACTTTCAACAACTGCCTTTGTGATTCAGGACTGAGGTGGTGATCAGTTTTATTTCAAAATGGCGTTGCGATTGTCCGGTTTGGCGCAGGTGCAGCTGTGGATTGGCATCACCATTGGACTTGTTGTCGCCTTTCTGGTCACTAGCATTAGTCGAGTATCTCCTATCACCAGTTTCGGGTTCAGTTCGGAGCAGCTGAATCCCAGACACATCGGACAAACAGTCAACACCATGACTGCCGGGACGGCCGGTGGGACAGAATCTTCATGAAGAGTTTGAAAACACGTTGAAAAACACAAGGCTTTTGAAGATAAACACGTACATCACGGTGGTCCAAAGGGAGAGAATCTTCATGAAGAGTTTGAAAACACGTTGAAAAAGTCACGCAAGGCCGGGAACGGATCAAATTTGAAGATAAACACGTACATCACGGTAAGTAGTAAAAGCGAGTGAATGAATGTTTTGTGTGTTTTTAACTAGTTATTTTAGCAGAACCGTTATAGTAAGTATTCCTATGGGCCGGGAAAACCAGGTGTGTCATGAACGACCAGAGTCATATCCGTGAGTCCGAGGTAGAAGTGGTCTTCACCAACCCAGGCTTGTAAGAGGCGACTAACGGGATTGGGTGGACACACTCGAGGGATAGAAATACATGTTTTTCGAAAGGTACAATTGGCTACCGACAGATATGCCCTTCTACGTGTGCCCTTGTGATAATAAGTGTGACCATCGATGTTCATGATATCAATCACTGGATCGTCATCCCCGCACTCAGACCGCCGCCATACAGCTGGAAAATTTCTGAGTGCGGCGTTAAACTATCAACCAACATACGTGAATGGATTTTATGGATTTTCTGAATTTGTACATTGCTTGGTACATTATTTTGTTCAAATCCATACTTGAGGGAGAAATAGATTTAACGAAAAAACAAATTTGAATACTATACAAATTGATGAAATGCGATGTGTGTTTTATACGATGTGTGTTGCTGCTAAGCCAAAATGATGAGGGCAAAATATTCCGCATCAACAAATGGTTACGTCATATGATCTGATTACTTACTGAACAAAAAGGGATCCTGAATATTTTGAAGATGCTTGCATGAAGCCTACACCACAACAGATTGTAAGGGATCGTAAATACATTTGGGGTTATATACCCCAAAATGGTCACGATACCTTAATTACTGGTGACCCGTGAAGATCCGGGTTAGAATTGGTCTTCAGTAACCCATGCTTGTCGTAAGAGGCGACTAACGGGATCGGGTGGACAGGCTCGCTGACTTGGTTGACACATGTCATCGGTTCCCAGTTGTCTAGATCGATGCCTATGCTGTTGATCACGGATTGTCTTGACCAGACTCGATTATTTACAAACCGCCGCCATATAGCTGGAATATTGCTGAGTGCGGCGTAAAACAACAACCAACCAATCAATCAACCCTTACTGGTTTGTTCAGGTACCCAGATTATGACCATGCCTCGTCCACACGCAACATGTCGTGTCTGAATAATGAGTCGCTTAATCGTTTCAGATGTGTCGATATACTGACACCGATAAGTTTCCTACTTTGTGACAATACTGCCTTTCCTTTGTTCCTTTGGCAGGCGGTAGTTTGCAGATGTATGGGCCTTAAGCGTATTGATAAAGGTTTGCGAAAGAACCAGTTTACACGATATATATATTGCCTGAGGAACGGCTTGATGGTAACGATTAAGTAATCTGCGGAACTTCAATACAGCGGGTTATGATGTTTCTCAGATAAATTTTAAAACAATCCAATGCTGTACTTGAGTTTCGGTAGGCCAGTCGTTGAAGGAAACGTAATTCGCTTGCCTCGCGTCATGCCAGTGACCTTGAAACTCGGTTCGTCCAGGTTATGTGTCTTGACCATGCTTGATTTCACGACGGTAAACGTCTGAGGTCTGCGTCCATTAAGTTAGCATACAATGGGGAACTGGAAGCCTGGGACAATATAATGAGCACAAAAGCTGGTATGGTGATGTCCACTCTCACTCTCTTTCTCTCCAAGTCCAGCATTTCTGCAAGCCTATGCTAACCCCTGGATCCGTTCTAATGGCTTTGCGATTGCAAATTACTCACGCCAGATTTCCGTTGCCTTATTTCACGTGCAAAGCGACTCAATTTAATACCGCCACCCTCCACTCTTTCAATCTGACTGGCCAAAATCAAAATGCCAGCCTAAATGGCCGGCTGGCGATATCGACAAACAGATAAGGATAGGGTTTGTGAGAGGTTCAACGTTATAAACTGTCTACCACGCAAAACTCCGTCAAAATCTTTTTGATGGAAATAATGCCTTTACGTCCTGCCTCAATCATTTGCTTTTTTGGGTCGGTAAAATGATAATGAAAATCAAGGGCGGGTAATTCGAGACCGCGAGAACCACGGCGTCCCGGGGTTAACATGGTTTGCCGAAATAAGAGAACTGAAGATTCAGATGATAACTCAATGTCAGATGACGAAACCCATGAAGATCCGGGAATTGGTCTTCAGAAACCCATGCTTTTCGTAAGAGGCTACTAACGGGATCGGGTGGTCAGGCTCGATGACACATGTCATCGTATCCCAATTGCGTAGATCAATACTCATGCTCTGGATCACGTGATTGTCTGGTCCAGGCTGTATTATTTACAGACCGCCGCCATACAGCTGGAATATTGCTGAGCGCGGCGTTAAAAAACCAACCAATCAGATCACGAGGCTACTTTAACCTGCCACCAAACCCTATACGGGTTGATCAAGAGTGTTATTGGGATCGAACGTCTCCTTGGTCAGGTGAAGAGGTCAAGGTCAGCGGTGAGTTGATGGTTCGGTCCCTGGCGCCATCAGACCCAAAACAGTATAAGATGGTACTTGTTCTTTTCAATCTGACGCTTGGCATTAAGGGCACAAAGTCGATATACAATGTGTGCGTTGTGTATCCGTATTGTTCTATGCTATGTCATCTCAGTGGGCTAAGTAAAACCGGATGATAAGTAGGGCTGCAACGATTCAGTTCGATTCATCGAAACTCGAATCTGACACCTTCGATAACCATCATCACTATTTCGATTCGATATTTGAGTACTATTCTGTGTTTCAACATCATATTTCATTTGTTTGAAAAAGGTTACATCGTTTACATTCCTGATTTCCTAGTCAAATCTTGGGAAAGATTTTCAGTTTCATATGGTTTTTTTTTTAATAAACTCTTAGAGTTAAATAAAATCTGATGTTTTTACTTGTATGAAGAATCGAATCGAAAATGATGGAATCGAGGGTCCAGTATCGAAAATCGAATCGAATCGAGGTCTGGGTGAATCGTTGCAGCCCTAATAATAAGTCTAGAAGAAGACACGCACGCACGCACGCACGAATGTCACTATATTAGTTCAATCATCATTTATTCACGCAGACAGAAATGTTTATTCAAGTGGGTGAGTGAGTTTAGTTTTACGCTCACTCAGCAATATCCGAGCTATATGGCGGCGGTCTGTAAATAATCGAGTCTGGACCAGACAATCCAGGGGGTCAACAGCATGAACATCGTTCTACAAAATTGGGATACGATGACATGTGCTTTATTCAAGTGACACACATAGTTACATATATTATCATATTAGTAAGTTGCATTCAGATTTAAGGAAAGCGTACATTAAGCAATATAAATTAGCTTAGGAGACCGTCAAAACCTCCAGCGGCATAGGGACGGTGGGGTAGCCTTGTGGTTAATGCGTTCGCTCGTCACGCTATATATATATATATATCGAACTCGGGTCTCTCGAACTCGGGTCTTCCATGTGTCTCGAAATCGATGTGTCTTATCATTTTCCTTACTTGGAGGGAAATACGTCGTGTCACCTGGCCTATCGGCTTCGTGAATAACTAAAATGCAACAGATAATTATTGTTTTTCACTCAAAAATGTCATTGCTTTTCAGTGATAAAGAAACGATACACATTGAGTTATGCAGTTCTTGGCAACAATCTGACCGCCAACTATAACAACTGATTATTCTGGACGCTAAATGCATTGTGAAAAATTGATAAGTGTCGAAAGCTGGCGCACCTTTGTTAATCTTTTTGTCGACTTCTTTCTTTGACGCTAGTTCGGTACAACATTTTCGCTCGAGATCATTACAGATAGGCTCCATTCTCTAATGGCTTTAGACCCGTGAAGGTCCGGGTCTATTAGAATAGCCCTTCAGCAACCCATGCTTGCTATAAAAGGCGACTATGCTTGTCGTAAAAGGCGACTAACGGGATCGGGTGGTCAGGCTCGCTGACTTGTGTATAAATCAAGGTTTGGCTTCTTTTATCCACACATATTTATTATGGATATGATCTGTAAATTGATATGTGCTATGAAATGGCGTGTCTTCGACAATCAGAATTTGATTGACAAAATGCATAGTTGTGTGTCCGTTGCCATTCAAATTGGCCCGTCGTTTGTATTCCTTAATGCATTGTGTCAAAAATGCTAACGTCGCCTTCTACTTCAATAGTGAAGTCAATAGGATTGTGCTGAGCCAGACTGCCGTATAGTAAATAATGGTCTTCGTGGCGCGTCACCTAGTCACCTCGATCATTCTATGCGATATTGTTTGCAAGTAAAATAGCTTGTCCGTAGTTAAGGAGAAGATATTTCACCTTATTTCTAATGTGACCCTGCTTCACATGAGAGGGGCCATTTAAACATCGGGGAACCATTTGTGTTATTATTGTGTGTATGTGCTACGGCACACTCCTTTTCTTGAATAAACAAGCTATCAATACTTTACACTGTTCTTTGGAGCGATGACAGTATCAACACTGCAACAGCACGCTCCTAATGTATGATTACTAATATTGGAAAATATTGGTTTGTAAAACGGGTAAGCTGATGTTCATCAATCGAAAGGGGCGGTGGGGTAGCCTAGTGGTTAAAGCGTTGGCTCGTCACGCCGAGGACCCGGGTTCGATTCCCCACATTGGCACAATGTGTTAAGCCCATTTCTGGTGTCCCCCGCCGTGATATTGCTGGAATATTGCTAAAAGCGGCGTAAAACTCAACTCAGTCAGTCAGTCAGTCATCAATCGAACTAAAGCGGCCCATATGTTAATAGCCTTCATCCAAGTCTGTACTATAGGCTAAGCTTATGGATGTACAGCAATTCTATCTTTTAAAGGGGCAAGTCTAGATAAGCGGACAGTATATAAGGACGTCAATCTCTTTGAGGGATATTATTTATTTTTTAGAAATTATCATTTAAACTATTGATTATTACCTTAGAGTCTTATGCAAGTCTAATATGTCAAGGACACCGGAATATCCTGTACAGAGTTACACCCCTTTGGTTGAGACCATCCGCCTGCGTCTGTCTCGAATATTGGTTCTGGTCGTTTATAAATTGTTAGGTTGTCTCCTGCATTAAATAATAAGTGATCACTCGTATGCCTTAAACATTTATTGTTATGTTTTTTTTCTCAGATGATGACACAATCGCCAAGTCCCTGTTTGAGAAGGAGCGCGTGCTTTGCTGGATAATGACGTCACCACAGAACCTAGAGTCAAAAGCACGTGTAGTTCGCGATACGTGGGCTAAACGTTGCAACAAGGTTATTTTCATCAGTTCCACAACAGATCCGAAGTTTCCAACAGTTGGCTTAAAGGTCGCTGAAGGCCGGGAACATCTAACAGCCAAAACAATACAAGCCTTTCGGTATATTTACGAGAAACATATAGACGACGCCGATTGGTTCATGAAGGCTGACGATGATACCTATGTTATATTAGAGAACCTCCGATACTTCTTATCGTCGCAGAAGAAGACGGATCCTGTATATTTTGGCCACCATTTTAAGACAATCGTTAAACAGGGTTACTACAGCGGCGGAGGGGGGTATGTGCTGAGTAAGGAGGCGTTGAAAAGATACGGGGAAAAAGGTCACGACCCAAAAATATGTCGACAAGATGGCGGCGCTGAGGACGCAGAGTTCGGCAAATGTATGGAGAATCTAGGGGTGAAGACAGTCAACTCTACAGACGCCCTGGGGAGGAGCAGATTCCACTGTTTCGACCCTGAGACCCACCTGTTTGGAGGCTACCCTGACTGGTATTACCAATACGACGCCAATGGGGCCCAAAAGGTATGTACATATATATTTTACCATTATCTAACATTTCGAGCATATGACTTCCTGGTTGCTACTGTCCTGGTGAGTAAACTACGGTTATGACGAACGTGTTTATTACGAACTTACTCATACAACGAACTTTTATTTGTCTGGGTGTTTTATTTTAGTGGAAATGCGTATAACGAACTATGGTTATAACGAATTGAAACAGACTCGGTTAGATCCGGGTTAGAATTGATCTTCGGTAACCCATGTTTGTCGTAAGTGGCGACTAACGGGGCTCGGTTGGTCAGGCTCGCTGACTTGATTGACACATGTCATCATATCCCATGCGGTTGATCACTGGATTGTCTGGTCCAGACTCGATTATTTAAAGCTAGAATATTGCAGTATTAAACAACAAACTAACGAATTAAATAAGTGGGTCCTTTAAGTTCGTTATAACCGTACTTGGGGAACCACGTGAAGAAATGACGGTTCTTAAGTCTTGAGACACGCCTTGATACAACAAGGGCATAAGTGGGGATTTTGAATACAGACATGCGCAGAAGGGCATAACCATGACAGGACAAGCGGACTGCAAGAATGAGTTGAAATGCAAGAATGCTTTCTTGTTACATTGTTAGTGAACGTGGATGTACGCCGCACCGCCTTAAGTGAGTGAGTACGCTTCCAGCAATATCACGGCGGGTAAAACCAGAAATGGGCTTCACACATTGTGCCCATGTGGGAATCGTACCCGGGTCTTCGGTGTGACGAGCCAACGCTTTAACCACTACCGCCCACCACCCCTGCCCTAAGCAATATTCCAGCAATATCCTGGCGGGGAAAACCGGAAACGGGCTTTACACATTGTACCCATGTGGGGAATGTATATATTTTATATTCTACACATTGCCTGATTCAACACTTCGACTGTAATACATACAGGGCGTGTACAGACAAACCCACTTCATCAAAATGCAGGTTTATGATGTATGTTTGAATAATTTACTGGTTAACAAATCAGATCTGACGTTCACGACCAATGCACTGAAGCCGGGGTCAGGTGGAATTGATCTTCAACACACGTCTTCATCAGACGTGTTGAACCTTACACCACTTCGGCGATGTCGATGTCAACTGTCGTCACAATATATGCTGTTACGGTGATGCCGCCAGCTGAGACGATGATATTGAGGTGATTCAGTGCTTGGTGGAGTAGTATGTACCTGTCGAGTGCTTCTGTGAAGAAGCCTGAAGATATTTGTCTCATAGTGAGATTCGTGGTCACGTCGACATTGATCTGTATGTTAGTTCCACGATGAAAGCACGTATCGCGAATACTCGCATCCTCGTATTCAAGTTCCAGGGGCGGTGGGGTAGCTTAGTGGTAAAAGCGTTCGCTCGTCACGCCGAAGACCCGTGTTCGATTCCCCACATGGGTGCAATATATGAAGCCCATATCTGGTGTCCCCCGCCGTGATATTGCTGGAATATTACTAAAAGCGGCGTAAAACCATACTCACTCGTTCACTCACTCACCTCACCTCACCTCACCTCACCTCACCTCACCTCACCTCACCTCACCACACCTCACCCCACCCCACCTTACCCCACCTCATGATTTCATGTGTTATTGTGAGGGAGATCACCCCACTTCACACGAACTCATGTGATTTTATGTGATCTCATTATAAGGTTGATCACCTTACCTAACCCCACCTCACGATTTTATGTGATTTCAGCGTAAGGGACTCGTGTGATTTCTTGTGATCTCATTATAAGGTTGATCACCTTACCTCACCCCACCTCACGATTTTATGTGATCTCATTGTAAGGGACTCATGTGATTTCATGTGATCTCATCCGAACTCATGAATGTCAAGAACCGTTATGTATTTCTTTTGTTGCCAATACTGGTGAAGCATTCTTGTAGCAACTGTCTCCTTCAAAGTTATGGTGTTCATTTCAGGGAACAGAGAGCATCTCCGACTACGCCATATCCTTCCACTACGTGCCCCCACAGAAGATGTACGCTCTGGAGTTTTACATCTACCACTTACGACCGTATGGCATTGTGTCCGGCACTCAAGATCTCAACAAAAAACACGTGAAACCCGGAACTCAAGCTCACTAGACATGCGTACTGGTACCCGAAAGTCAAGAGAGACATGCGTAGTGGAAAGACATTATTACTGTGATCTGTGAAATATGTTGAAATCAATAACGCTTCTCACTGTGATTTAGTCTACTGGTGCCAGAATCTGGTACATTTCTGTATTACTCGCTGGTGCTAGTGTGATGGAAGACTGGCTGCACACAGCATGTGTGAAGTAGTTTCTCCATTATACCAAACCAATGAAACTAGTCAAATGTCTGGAACTAAATGCCACTTTGTACAGCATCATGTTCAGAGAGATCTGGACACTGGAGGATGATTGGGCAACTGGTCAGTGCTGGACAGATTGACGTAAGCGTCAGTGTATTATAATTGCTGACTCGGTCAAATCCCGAGAATGGTAACTTCAAACCTCATTTCAACAATGTCACGAGAAACCCGTTCACCTCAAGTTCACTAGTCATGAGTACTGGTACTCTGAAGTCAAGAGAGACATGCGTTTCTTTGCAATTATAACCAAAAAATAACCATTTCAACAATGACCAAATATTGAATCACGGGGTCCAACATGAGGTTATTCGCTGTGTGGTCGAACCACACCCAGTGCGTAACCCTCTAACGTCATGTACGTGCCTTCTGTTCATGAAAAGAAGCCGATGTATGTATTTTCAATATTGTCTCATCGAATGCCCTTGCAAACACTTGAGGCCTTATCTGAGTCATGGCACAGCAAGTAGTTACACACGGGGTTACATCCATGTATGTGTTAACTAGAAGTTTGCTGTTTAGACAAACAATCATAATTATATATGGTATTACCGTATATCCTCTGTTAGGATGTCTGCAACTTATATTTTCGTGCAACCCGCTGACCGAACGCATATGGAGACCCAGCGACTGTTCCTTCTAAGACGCCGGAACTGTCACATAGGGCTGACAGCAACGTTATTTAAATAAATAATGTGAAAAATATTAAATGTATATGTCCGGTGATGGGGTTCACTATTTAATGGCGGAAAGAATCGTTAAAGTCGGAGTTACGGAGTCGTCTAATTTGTGAAGATAGCCACAAGTCATGATGAGCAAATACTGATGCTTAACCTGAGTTTCACAGAAATCTGGCCATGAAACTCGACGTGGGCGTAAACCAGAAGCACATACTGTTTATAATGTTAATTTATGTGTGATAAAATAAATCCTTGATGGCATATTGTCCTCACCTCTGACGTTTTACGATGTATTTTAACATCAGGACTTGAATACTTAAATTCACTGTTATTTTCGAAGGAGTGAGCGAGTTTAGTTTTACGCCGTTTTTAGCAATATTCCAGCAATAACACGGCCGGGGACACCAGAAATGGGCTTAACGCACTGTAGAAATGTGGGGAATCGATATTTTCGAAGGACAACCCCGTCAAGTCAGCAATTGCATATTATATATAGGAACTGGTTTATATACATGCAGTTTATTATATCAGATGGACTGGGTTCAACGTTGCCTTCAAGGCCTTTGCTCATGTATCGTAAAATACTTTGTTTTGTTTGATCGTTGAATGTGAGAAACAAAACACTTGTTTGTTGAATTGCATTTATTATTGCCACAATGTTATCGACATCCTATCATGATAATTGAAACAAACACGGCCATTGTATGGTGAGGGGGAAATGTATCAAGTGATGAGATAATAGTCTGAAAATTAGGAACTGTCAGTTAAATGCATACCGAACAAAACAAGTGAATGAATCATGAGTATATGCTGGGATATCACACACACTTTTCTGCTTAATCTTCGGTGCAAATATAATAACGTCCAAACTATTCAAGATCTCTAAGCTACTTTGGTTGTGTGTATGTTTCAAAGGGCACGTACTTCAGTTTGGTCGTATGAAGATATTGGTGTGATTTCTTTGTGCGAGCTACGAGATGACATTAATTGAATGAATTTACACATTGACGTAAACAGTGTATTTTTGAAATAAATCAGATAATATTTTGGCACATTTGATTTTTTGCTACCTGTGACAAATAGAGAGTGAGTGAGTTTAGTTTTACGCCGCACTCAGCAATATTCCAGCTATATGGCCGCGGTCTGTAAATAATTGAGTCGGGACCAGACAATCCAGTGATCAACAGCATGAGCATCGATCTGCGCAATTGGGATCCGATGACATGTGTCGACCAAGTCAGCGAGCCTAACCACCCGATCCCGTTAGTCGCCTTTTACGACAAGCATGGGTTACTGAAGGTTCATTCAAACCCGGACCTTCACGAGTACGATAAATTATAGAGTTACGACATGTCATAACGAATTACACATTGGTATGTACGAGCTACAATCAAATTTAGATTCTGAAGAATTTAGATGAAATTAAACATACCAAACATACACAATGAGAATTGACGTCGATGCCATGTCCGGACTTTGAGATATTATCGACGAATGTGCCCATGCTGCAACCACCGACACAGGTTTGTCACCAAAACTGCATGACACAGAAAGACTATTGACACTTGAACAGGGCAGTAGAAAATATAAGGCTTTGCTATATGGCATAGTTGAATCAAGTACTGAAAACACACAATCTTTAAAGTCAACCGTATTTTGGTTGGTTTGTTGTTTAAAGCCGCATTCAGCAATATTCCAGCTATATGGCGGCAGTCTGTAACTAATCGAGTCTGGACCAGACAAACCAGTGATCAACAGCATGAGCAACGATCTACGCAGTTGGGATACAATGGCATGTGTCAGCCAAGTCAGCGAGCCTGACCACCCTATCCCGTTAGTCGTCTCTTGAAGAAAGTGTCATGGTGTGGGCCGTGATATCCAGCACACACATATCGGATTTAGTGGTGGTTCAGGGGAATTTGACAGCAAATCGGTACATCAGTGAAGTCCTTGCACGTCACATGCTTCTCATTCTGGAGTTGTTCCAGCATGACAACGCTACTTCACATACAGCACGTGTCACGGTCCGCCACCTTGCCATTTCTAACTTCAATGTCTTGCCATGGTCTTCCCGATCACCAGATCTAAACCCGAAAGAACACCTCTGGGATGAACTCGATCGACGTGTACGTCAACGTCAAAACACGCCTTAGACACTTCCACAACTGGCCATCGCATTGCAAGAAGAATGGGGAAGAATTCCGCAAGAGCGAATTCGTCGATTTACCTCGTCTGTGCCAAGACTGTGCCGGGCAGTACTTGCTGCAAATGGTTGTCATGCAAAGTTCTGACTTTGACGCCATCGTGTGGAATTAAATAAACAGAAACACAACAAGGGCTGCTGTTTTGTTGGTGAACACTGTGCCTATAGACGTGTGAACCTTTTTACCATATAACTTACATGAAATAACTGCTCTGAAACTAAGGCAATAAATTCTTCTAAAATGGGTTATAATGTATAACCCATTTTATAATATATAACCCATTTTATAATATATAACCCATATAATATATAACCCATTTTATAATATATAACCCATTTTATAATATATAACCCATTTTATAATCCATTTTATAATGTATAACCCATTTTATAATGTATAACCCATTTTATAATGTATAACCCATTTTATAATATATAACCCATTTTATAATGTATAACCAATTTTATAATGTATAACCAATTTTAGAAGAATTTGAAGAGTATCTATCTGTCGTCTGCATCTAAATTTGAAAGCCAGACAGTGCATGCTCTTTGCTGCACAATTTCAACTGGAAGGTGATTTCTGTTGCGTTGTGGCGATGCCTTTTTAATTCTTGTTAGAAATCTCATCAAAATCAACATTTTCAGCTGAAGTCGATTTTTCACACCAGTCGATTGTATGAGAATCTAAATTCTCGCGAGAAGTGCAAGAACATCCCTCAAGCACTCGTAAAATCTACCACTCTATCCATTATGCTCAACGGTTAAAGATTGAAGCGTGTATCAGAATTCATAATATATGTAGTGAGTTTATTGAACGTCCTCTTGTGTCCAAGATTATTTCACAAGTTAAGTACATGTTACAAGATACAGGTGACTTGATAATGTGCAAGGTTATACATGTAACAATGCAAGATGCATTCTGGCTTTTGTCAACTTTTCCGCTACATTGTAGCTTTCAGCTTTTTACCGTGCAGCGTACAGAGGCTGAATTAGCTGCAATTTATGTTATTTATATTGATAGAGACACCAAACGAGGCGTTTTGAATATTTCATGTTTTTCACCATCATTTCCTAATTATGCTAAACAATATTCCTGTAGTTCCAACATTTCTAGTGTCAAGATTTCACAACTAGGTACAATAGAGCATGCTTTTTATACCAGGACTATTCTCGAAAATGGCCATTTTATCCTGGTTACAACGTTCAATGTCGTTTGCAAGCGTTGAAACAGCGTATGGTACACGCGGTCTAAAATTAACGATTCATCAACCATAATTATGCCCGATTCATTTTCTAATTAGATTTTGTCCTGGCCAACCGAATGCATACATCTGAAACACACGCAATGTCAAGTCAAGTATTCACCTGATGGAAACAGCAACGCTGTTCAAAATGTTACCATTCAAATAGCTGGGAGCATTTGATTGTCCCTGTTACCTACATGCCACAGTTTCCTGTAATCAAACACCTAAACAATAAATGTCTGGCATACCTGATGACGTCATGTGTAATGTACGTTGATCATTATTACCATCACTACCTTGAAGTTGTAGACACAGATTGAAGGTCTTAACTATCCTCAGCAACCGGTAGCCTAGTGGTTAAAGCGTTCGTTCGTCACGCCGAGGACCCGGGTTCGATTCCCCATATGGGTGCAGTGTATGAAGCCCCTTTCTAGTGTCCCCCGCCATGATATTCCTGGAAAATTGTTAAAAGTGGCGTAAAACTAAACTCACTCACTCACTCAGTAACAAATTCCGTTTGGTGTGAAACTTATGTGAATGGATCACTGAAAATCAGGGATGACACCGGGTGTTCAGGGTAAGCATGTCCTCTCTTACCGGTAGCCCAGGTCATTCACAAATTTAAAACTTGTATCGTAGGCATTTTGGAACAGGGTTTATCGGGAATATTTATTATACTCCTTGAGTTATGCGAATTGAATATCTTTCTAAATAATGACATGGCTGTCAACAGAAAGGAACTCAACGCAGCTTGACCATTGTCATCATGGCCACCAACACAGAGTCACTTGTACATTTGCTGCCTATAGTCATAGTTACACATTGGAAGGTTGGCCACTGAAGCATGCCAGTGTGGATGAGAAGCGGGCTTATGTAGGCTGACCAAAAGCGACACATGAGAGTCTGATGAGGATTCGACCCGTAGGGATAAGTAGACAATGTTTTGTGTTAGTCGGGACTTGACCCTGAGAGAACGGCTTGGCAGGTTGGATGACCATCGCTTTCCAAATGCCACATAGTCATTACCATATTACCATGTAGTTATCGAAGTTAGTCACGATTAAAGCGTTGTGAACCCACTGATGGACTTTTATAAACGAAGAGACAGTTATCCCTTCTAAACATCCCGGGATACTTGCCTAAAATTGGAACCTTTTATGAAAATCAGTCCTGCACGCAAGGGTGGCCTGTAAACAAACCAGACAATCAGGTGATCGATGAACTGGAAAATCTAGGGAATAATATGGAATTACAATCCCTGGATCTCAAAGCTGCTGAGGCGGGTTCGACTCCCCAAAAGAGAGTAAAAAACGCAAAGGCAAATCCTGGAGTTGAAACATATGGTTGAAATACTCTCTAAAGGGGCGTAAAACACTCCGTATTTACCCATTCACATTTGGGTTTTATTATCTGAAAGCTGGCTTTTCTACAAACCGAACACGTATCAGGCAGTCCGTGTTTCGAAACCCGTGAAGATCAGGGTTAAAATCGGTCCTGTTGTCAGAGGCGACTAACAGGATCGGCTGGTCAGCCTCGATGACTTGTTGACACATGTCATCGTATCCCAATTGCGTAGATCAATGCTCATGATGTTGATCACAGGAATGTCTGGTCCAGACTCGATTATTTACAGACCGCCGCCCTATATTTTGGCAGCATCGGTGGCGGTAAGATAAATACGTTGCATGCTTCTCCCTCGCCTACCGGCTCGGATAACACTGCTACAAAGAGGCGTACATCAGACCGTATTACCCTCGAGAGAAGCATAAAACTTATAGTAGAATATCAAACTTCCTTCCTATGGCAAAAATTGGTGCAAATTCTTCTAAAGGCGGTTTGAAACATAGACACTAAGTGTTGTCCGAAATTTTGTTACGAGTAACATAAACAGTAGCTTTCTACGTTTTTTATGACGCACCGATAAAATCACTGTGGGACGAAATTCTTTTATTTGGCATTCTTACACTGACTGAGTGAGTGAGTTAAATTTCACGCCGCTTTTAGCAATATTTCGGCGGGGGTACACCATAAATGTGCTACACATATTGTACCCATATTGGGAATCAAACCCGGGACTTCGGCGTGACGAGCGAACGCTTTAGGCACTAGGATACCCCACCGCCCCCTCATCTTTATGGAAAGTGTGTGGAAACAGAATACTGCTTGATATCAGAACGACATAAATGTATAACAAATGAATTTGTCTACTTATGTATAAAGTTATCCTTTGATAATACGATGTGCCGTTGAGATTGACATCCAATGGGGCGGTGGGGTAGCCTAGTGGTTAAAGCGTTGGCTCGTCACGCCGAAGACCCGGGTTCGATTCCCCACATGGGCACAATGTGTTAAGCCCATTTCTGGTGTCCCCCGCCGTGATATTGCTGGAATATTGCTAAAAGCGGCGTAAAACTAAACTCAGTCAGTCAGTCAGTCAGACATCCAATGATCTAGGAAAAAAATACCAGCGCCTTGAGCATGCAGTAGTTGCGGGGATATGTGCGCTATATAAATATCCTATAATAATGATAATAATAATAATCCTTTCAATGGTTTCCCATAAATGGCGAAAACTGATATTTTTACGTCAAACGACGACAGAGAGGTCGTGGGAGCATAACTCCGCCTAACACGAGGCCTTCTCAGGTTACTTGGGGAGAATGAGCTCTGGATAAGGACACTATATTTTCGTCAAGATGAACCAAACTATTCCAAACACAGATCCACATTGTAATCGAATACGTTTTGGTAGTATCACAAATTACAAGAAATGTTGCAATCATACAACATGTGAAATCAGGCCAAATGGATGGCCCTATCTAATACAGCAATACTCCATCAACATAAGAGCTGGGGACACCAGAATCGGCTTGTCATTTTGTAACCCTGTAGGGAATTGAAAACCTGTCTTCAGCGTGACTAGTAAATATTGATTGACCCGTGAAGATCCGGGTTAGAATATTGATCTTCAGTAACCCATGCTTGTCGTAAGAGGCGACTAACGTGATCGGGTGGTCACTCGCGGCCTTGGTTGACACATGTCATCGCATTCCAGTTGCGTAGATCGATGCTCATGCTGTTGATCACTGGATTGTCTTGTCCAGACTCGATTATTCACAGACCACCGATATATAGCTGGAGTATTGCTGCGTGTGGGAATAAACAAAAAAATAAATAAAATCAACACATAACCATAATGCACTCAGTCGTGTTGGGGACTGTATCCACACATTTGACTTTTCTTAATTTCACGTCATAATCATGTACTACCTCTCTATTTGTTTGATAGAAAACCGATTCAATGATCTGTGGCAAAGTTGATCCCCACACCATACGTTGCTAATCACCTCATTACGTAACTCACGTGACCGCTACACAACCTGAAATAAATTTTCTATTGACCCATGACCGCACATTTAGGAGCGTAGGAAAAAAAAGCATAATTCTAAACTTTGTCATTTGCGACCTCAGGTTATTTATAATCAAATCAGTGTCATCGAAGAAAAATATCATCAATTCGCACTTTGGAAAATATATGAAAACGACAGCCATATTTACACGCTTCTGACATTGCTCACAGACACGAGAATGCACTTTTATTCCATGACAACCGATATAGATGCAAAATTTGGAGACCAAATGACACATACATTGAAGTTCTAAAGGCATTTAGAAGTTGGACGAACATGAATACAATGACATATTTATATGGATAACAACTTCCTTTTATTCTTTATACGACGTTGCAGAGTTAATTCTCACTCCTTCATCGGGATACATACATTGACCATACGGACCACGACAACTACATTTCCTAATATAAATACAGTTTGGAAAAACTGCCATTTCGTGTAGTGGTAGATGACTTTTTTGTACCTCATAAGACATTATTCTGAGTGTTAGTGACATATCTCTGTACCTGTTGAACTTACGGGGATGATATTGATCTCATTTGTGCCAGTGGACCAAGTTAATGGTTAACTGAGAATTATAGTCAGTTTCTAACACTGGAGGTCTAGCTCAACAAAAGGTGCTGATTAATAACTTAGACATAAATTATAGTAAATCTCTGAACGTCTAAATACGCGACAACTTCCATTATGAAGTTTCGTGCTACTATAAATTCACATAAAGTGAAAGGTCATTTGCTTGACTTTAATGTCATTTGTAAACCTCGAAAGAAGTATATCTAGACACAGTCCTGTGTAGTACATGTGTCCTGATGACAGCCATGCATAGCAGATGATACATGAACAAATGTATGCTCAAATGTAACAAATGTTTTACTCAGGCTTACGCTTTCAAAATCGAAAAGAAATGATAATATGTGGATGTCAACGAGTTACATAATTGTCAGCACATAATGTCAACGATCTAACCCACTCAGCCACAGTTGCTTCCATAAAACATTGTGAGAGTGAGTGAGTTGGGTTTTACGCCACTTTTAGCAATATTTCAGCAATATCACGGCAGGGGACACCAGACACGGGCTTGAGACAATGTACCCATGTGGGGAATCTAATCTGGGTCTTCGACGAGACGAGCGAACGCTTTACCACTGCCCTCCATAAAACATGAAAGTTTGACAACTGGTGGTCTAATTCACGTACCTGGAGTACTAGTTTAAATTGGCACGGCCCCGTGGAAGAAAGCTGTGGATACACACTGTATTTTAGAAGTGGAACAAATGTAGTCTGATGGGTAAACTGGGCAATCATTGGAAAGTGATTATAAAGATGAATGAAACAGACACTTGGATATAGGTTTGTGAGATAATCTATCGAATCGAGTCAAAAAAAAGGTAGATTGCGGGATAGTTCGGATTTGTATGACTTGGTCTGTTTTGAGGGAGGGATCGTGGCGAACATGTTCGTGAACTGACTTTTCCCATTGAATGCTTGAACGCTGGTTTAAAATTTACAGGGTTCAAATGATCGGAAATAACGCTTCTGTATTCATTAGTGTTTGGGACTTCCAGTGTTTTCCCAAAGGATGTGAGAGAAATCCGTCAGTGTTAACGTCATTTCAAGAATAGAGACATCACATTCTGACCATGTGACCAATCATACAACTGAAGTATATTTATACATGTTATATCACATTGTAATTATTCAAGTACATTAAGCAATACATGTATTCAGAGTAATTATACTAGTATATTAAGCTATTCATGTCTTCAATACAAGTATATTAAGGTATACATGTCTTCAGAGTAATAATACAAGTAGATTAAGCTATACATATCTTCGGAGTAATAATACAAGTAGATTAAGCTATACATGTCTTCAGAGCAACATACACGTATATTAACCTATACATGTCTTCAGAGTAATTATACAGTATATTAGGCTATACATGTCCTCTGTGTAATAATACGAGTATATTAAGCTATACATGTCTTCAGAGTATTAATACAAGTATATTCACCTATGCTTGTCTTCAGAGTAGACGATTATACAACTGAAGTATAATAAGCTAATTATGCAAGTATATTAACCTAGAAATGTCCTCCCTGTAATTATAGCCAGGCATTTCTTCTGTATACAAGCATATTGAGGTTGCAATTGGTATCTCTTTTCTTTATTGTACAAAATAGAAGTTAATTATGCTTTATGTCGCGTTAGTGACATGATGCAACTATGTTAAGTTTAGTGTAAGTAAAAAGTCTCTACATCTTTCCAGGGTTATTATGCCACAACACAGACAGCCAATCACCCGTGATAACTATGCATGCACGCGCGCACGCATGCGCGCACACACACACACACAAATTGTTATGAGTGTGTTTTTGTGAAATTTTATTATCATTGGTTAAGTGGTAGTTATTTTGGGTCACAATGCTTAAAGTTTTGAGTATAGGTTTTGGCTCGCATCTCGCATCATATATGTTCAATGGCAATAGTATTTTTAGCGGCACGCCTTTTTGTTAGCGCCTCAGGGTTGCCTCCCTTGGCAAGTGGTTGACTCGTCATGCCGTGGAGTTAACCACCGCTTTCGTGAAAGTTCTGAGTGGATAATGATGCAGCCTTTCTTTACTAGAATGCTCGAGAACTATGCAAGAGCTATATTAAGGCTGGTTGTTGCGTTGTGCGGCGGGACTAACACACGGACTTATTACATGACTGGAGTTATACACATCTGTCTGCCGTCATCGAGCTGACACATCTGTCTACCGTGGTCAAGTCTATCTGTCAACATTTCAAGACCGTGCTTGACTGTTCAACTACTGTCATTGTAAACAACCTTCAATCTGTATATCTGTTATCACCGTGAATGTCAAGACTCTAGTGAGTTATTATTATATATTTCTGATCCAATATTTTAGATTTGTGATTCAATTGCATTGTACTAGATATCTGTATTGTCATTCATTGTAGCTTGCGCATTGTTTGCTCAGAACCTGCTCTTAAACCTTTTGTCACGGCAAATTTATTAACTGTAACAAAATACAAATGTTTGATCACAGTATCCACCTGACTATACTGACTATACCCACCTGACTATACTTTATCTCCTATATCTCTTCTTCAGAACACGGGGAATCCCTGAAGGCAAAACGTTTCCCTCGTCGTTACACTGTTTACATTTTTAAAACAGACTATATCTTTATCCCAAGTTTGTCTCGCTAAGCAATATGGCCAGTAGGCGTCCCTGTGACTTGCATTGAAGCAGTATCTGGAACATGCTGGTGGATTCACCCAGTTCGCTACACTGACTAGGAATATAATTTATAGATCGTGGTAGTGGCGGTCATAGGCTGATTCGTGCATTAGAAATGGTTTCGATTCTTCACATGTTTTGTGGGCGTATGCCAATGTGCATCGGTGTTACTTTGGGACTTATGGTGGGCTATTTAGTAGCCATGATCAGTCAGACAGCTCCAGGTACCCGCTTTGGGTTCCGTAGGGATCATGGCCGACAAATGTCCTGGGGTAGACACGGCATTGATGTTAATCCTGGTGGACGGGATCTGCATGATCAGTTGGGAAAGCATTTGGTCGGACATCCAGTTGATGAAGTCAAGTTTGAAGACGAACACCTGCATCACGGTAGGTCCAAACTGAGTGTTGGTCAGCTGACCACTACGTCACATGTGTAATATGTTTTCAGAAGTTTAACTGCTCGATGCCCGGACATACATGTCCCTCCTCACCAACCCTCACTTTGAAATAGATACTAATTCAACAAACACCATGTGTGTACATATACTTACACAAGTTATACTTTCACAATACAAAGTGTCTAAATGAAATCGAGCGAAATGAATTCGGTGTGAAAACGACAGCTTTCCTCGGAAGGCATCACGTTTTGAAAATGTGACCAAAGCAAAATTCAGATTTTACATTGGGTAACATTCCTCCTATTTTGAGAGATCCAATAGTCCATTCGTTTTGTAAACTGACTTAGTATTTTTAGCATATAGATGGGAAGAGTATCGTTACAGGGATTTGGGACCTGAAAAGAGTGAGTGAGTGAGTATGGTTTTACGCCGCCTTTACCAATATTCCAGCAATATCACGGCGGGAGACACCAGAAATGGGCTTCAGCCATTGTACACATGTGGGGAATCGAACCCGGCTCTTCGGCGTGACGAGCGAACGCTTTAACCACTAGGCTACCCCACCGCCCCTTTTTTACTGAGGATAGTCAAGACTGGGTATCCTTTTGCATTGACGTTCTACTTTTAACTGATGGACCAACCGCCTTCACTCTGTGTCTACAACTTCAAGGTAGTGATGATAATAATGATCAACGTAAATAACACATAACGTCATCAGGTAAGCCAGATATGTATTGTTTAGGTGTTTGATTACAGGAAAATGTGGCATACAGGTCCAAGGGAAAATCAAATGCTCTCAGCTATTTCAATGGGCAACATTTTGAATAGTGTTCTGCTTCCTTCAGGTGAATACTTGACTTGACATTGCGTGTGTTTGAGATGGATGTCTTCGGTTGGGCAGGACAATCCAAATCGGAAAATGCATTTTTTTGGATGATGAATCGTTAATTTCAGAACACGTGTACTATACACATTGTAACAAATACGTATCGCTATATGTTTATGACGTACCGGTAAACCGCCAAAATTTTATTTGTTCAATTTTAACCCAACACCGTTCATAAGACTTCCGCCGGTATACCTCCTAAATTTTAATGGTGAGGAATAAGATATAAGTGTATATTCAGGTAATATGGGTGGTGGTGGTGGGTGGGGATTGGGCGGAAGTCTTTCCATATGATTGGCAACGGGTCCACTTACAAAATTGTCAAAGAGCAAACTTTAAGTATGGACGTTTCGAGGAAATCATAAAATTGAATAAACTAATGAATAAACTCAACGGTTTTCATAAAAGTTGTCAAACGTACATCTAAGTTACTATTTCCATCTTTTTATGTTTTATAAGTTAAGTGACATCTCGGCTTTCGTCACCTCCTTCTTCATGCTCCGACACGATGTTCAATGAGAACCATTTGCGAAATATGGCGATTTGTAGCTTAATACGTTCAGAATAGCATTATTGTACCCAAAGCTTTTGTCTAAAAGTTTTCGTTTATGAGGACGGTATCCATTGCTGTAATATGATTGAATTACGAGCATGGTTTTTAACAATCACGAAGCTTAAAGCAGACTGTGGCGAAAAAGCGTCATTAGAAACAAATCTTTAACAAAGGAAAATCGCTTCTTACAACTGCTAAAATACCCCTGGCAAGGTTACTGTGATATTATTGATGATTAGAGCTTTGGAATAATACCTGCCATCAAATGAATCTTTTTAAGTTTTGTTCATACGGAGCTTCGAAAACGGAGGCATTTCCCAATGTTGTGTCATGTTACCGGGTGAAAGGCCACGGTTATCGGGAAATAGTAGACCATGCATATTATTTAAATTATCTTTATATAATAATTTTCTGATTACGTAAAAATGAAAACATAAAAGAAATAGGTAACAGGATATTATGGCATCTAACAAATGGATTAAAATAGCGGGAGTTTCGTCTCTTTCGTGATTTATATGGACATTTTAAGTGTGTACATTTTTATTACTATTAGAAATTTTATTTATCTTGAAGTTGTATTATTTGAATAATATGATAAACATACCTTTGGTATTTATCAACAGTTGGATTAGACCTAAAAAAAATAAATGGTGTATGCCATAGCATTAATGTTTAACGAGCTGATATTTTCCTTGATAAACGTAGGCTTCTATCTTATTATAAGGTTATGTTTCTCATGTTTCCTTTTTTCATTATTCTATTTAGTCTAAAGAAAGTGTACTTTACCTGATACAGAGTGACTTTTGCCCATCGTGAGTGTTTTGTTAAATCAATTGTTTATGTGAATGTGTACCAAACGTCATTCATGAAATAGGTAATGTTAATAATACTTTTATTCAAAGACAAAGGTGCATAAATCATCGTTTTGATTAGAATGTGCACTTCAAGATCATGTCACATGATTGTGACTTCAATTAATTTTTTTCTTGAGTAATACAGATGTGTACAGTAAATTCTATAACTCTTTAAATTATTTGAAATTCAACATCCTTTGCTGTTTAAAGACGTTAAAGTTTAAAATGGTATGGGTGGGCCGATGGAGGACATGGTGTAAGCTAGTTTCAGTTGAATTTGTCATATATGTATATGAAATGAGAAATCAATTGTTTATCTGCATAAACTTTTACAGTTAAACAGTTACAATTAAAAGAAAGACTTGTTGAAAGTTTTTTTCATAGTAAAGCGCAGGGCTAGTAATGTTTGGAAAGGACTAGTGACATACAAAATCCAGTAGCCCGGAGGGCCAGTTAAAGAACCACTAAACTTTGTTTTTTGTTACTCTTTTAACCATTACATATGAAAGATTTGTGGTTAGCCTTATGCGGAACACCAAATTTATTCTTTAAAAACTTGTGGTTAATTAATACCGAGCGATTAAAAGTGGCCAAAAAGTCGCCTGCTTCCCTCTCGCCCGCCAACGAAACCACAGACAGGTTACGTAACTCTGTCGCCAGAGCACTGCAGTGACGTCATATGAGGAACGATTTTCAGTTAGTTGTATAGAAAATGTGTAGCACGCTCATCATTTTGATGATTTCTCGACATCCACGACGACATGCCGAATCGTTGCTTTGTCGTCAATTGCTCCTAGGGTCGGGCGATGGTGTCCCCATGCACAGATTTCCACAGGACCCCGCAGTTCGTGCTAAATGGGTTATGTTTGTGAGTGCGAAGCGAGCGTTGTGGAAGCCTGAAACGATATCTTACTTGTGTTCAGATCGCTTCACGGAAGTTAAAGAATCAAAACTACTTACTAGTTGTAGTAAAATATGCATATGATTGATGACCATAAAGATTTTCTATGACACAACTTGTAACATAACGATTTCTTCCTCGGAAGTGAGGTTGTGGTCGAAGTAACAATAATATTGTAAGTAGTATTATATTGACACCCACCTCGCTGCCACGAGAGAAATTGTTATGATATACGCTATGTCATGCAAAATCCTATTGGCCATCAATAAAATACATATTTTACTACCAGTAGAAAGTAGTTTTGATTTTGTAACTCAGTGAAAACAAACCTAAATACCATTTATCCTCAGACTGGCGGATGTTCCCGACAGAATGCCGCCATTTTAAAAATAAAAAAATCTGTTAGAATTAATGAGATTATAGTTTGTTTTCATCAAGTTAGAAAATCAAGACTACTTTCTACTCGTTGTTAAATATGTATTGGAATCATAACCAAACGGATTTTGCATGACACAACTTATAACATAACGATTTCTTCCACGGAAGCGAGGTGGGGTCGAAGTCACAATACTGCGCGATAAATTTCTTGCTACATTCCATGGTTAATGTCCACTCACCAGTATGTAGATACTAGTCAATGTGCGTCTTTATATTTGGTCTTATAATCCTAATTAGTTTATTATCACACTTGTATGCATTTTGAAACTAAATAAAAGCAGACGATCTGCTGATACTTATAGTGAATTTATAACAGAACTGTAATATCTAGACATTTTATAGTTTGCCAATGTGAATCATAATTCGCACACACACCCTAGTGCATGTTGTCTGTCTCATTACACTTCACGGCGAAAACAATGATTCTGTTGAATGCTACGACAAATGAATAAAAACAAAATGCAAATATTAAAATTAAAACAGATTAAAGTTATAGGAACAATATCAGGCCATTACCTTGTTCGAGGAATGTATCCATCAATATCCACAAAACTGTTCCAAATGATGTGTCTTTTAACAGTTTAATATACGAAAAAAGTGATAAATCTTTTCAGGTATTGGTGTATAGTCTCATTGGTCACCCAAGATAGCACACCTGGCAACTAATTGCATAATGTCCGCCTTTCTTTAAAACAGTAATTTAGTTAGCCAATAATGGGCAATCAATCAATGTATTGCCGGTTAATCCTTTGAAAGAAGGACGTTGTTTTACGCAGACACCGACACGACAGAGTGTATTCAGTATAGATTAGTAAATCTACATACATAAACACTACCTTTTGACAATTCCGCTGTGTAAGATAAAAGTAATTAATCAATCAGCGTGTTATCGGTTAATCCTTTGATCGATGTTTATAATGTTGAATATTTACTCCAGACACAAGAAATGCCAAATGGGAACCTTTGTCGGGTAATCTAAGTGTGTTACCACTAATTATACCTGTTATAAATTCATTAACTGACCATCAAGTGAATGATGACAAATAACATGTGTAGGTTTATACCACCTAACACGGGTTACAACGAGGGAGTATTAATTGCTGTATTGCATGTGAAAACTTATGGGCCGACACTGTTTGAGAATACAAACAGATTTTACATGACATGATTAAATATCGAGGTAAAACAACACAGAAATGGGATCAATTTGGATCAGTCATTATACAAATAGGGCCTAACGACACCAATCGATTTTGACAGAATCGTCTATGAAAACAAGTTGTAACTCGGAAACTAGGCAAAGCAGGAGACAAAATTAAATGACAGTAGATTGTGAGAACATATAGCTTTCATTTTCCACAACAATTGTCACGATTTCAGGTTTATACAAGCCTGTAAACACGATAATTTACCCCTAAAATGTAGATGAATTCTGCATCGGCTCTCAAAGCTATTCCTCATATGACGTCACAGAGGCGCGCCGCTCTGATTGGTTGAAATTTCGTTCGCGGGTGAGAATTGTGCACTGTTGTCAAAAGGTCGATTTAAGTCAATTAAAGGTCGAAATGAGTAGTTTTAATGACGGGGTTTCATTTATAACGATGCCAGTTAGTGATTTATGTATTTGTACCCCTAGGGTTTATGTGACCTTTAAATACTCACATATATACTGTGATTCAGACTGAAGGTAAAAGAATATTATTAAGTGGACAGATCTCAATAACTGTTCTTTCACAATATATTGCAATACGTATCGCAATACAGATCTAGAAGAGTGTATCTCAATATATCGCAATACGAAATTTGGGGCAATACACAGCCCTAGTTGTTACATGTATAACCTTGTACATTATCAAGTCACTTGTATCTTGTTACATGTATCTAACTTGTGAAATAATCTAGGACAAAACAGGACGTTCAATAAACTCACTACATATATTTATTAATTCTGATACACGCTTCAATCCTTAACCTATTGAAAATATTGCATTGATTTGGTCAACACGTCAACACAAACTGTGAAAGTTTCTGTCTTCCCTGACGCCATGACTGAAGCAACATCACGGTATTTACTGGCCCTTCTGACTATTTTCTTAGCGTTACAGAAATAAAACCATGTACCATTAAAATAGCAAAAATAACCAAAACTGAGCAGATCGTCAGAATGTTTCTTGCTACTTCCCTCACACATTTATGTAAAAACGACCCCTGAACCAACGATAGTTTCCTCGCTTAGGCAAAACTAAACCTCAATCAAACCCTCAGCAGTGTCCGTTTAAATAGACACCATTATACATACATTTAAGTTTTCTACATTTCTGCGTACTTTCATAGGTACTGTAGATCCGGTGGTGCCGCGCGAGCGCAATTCCGGATTAGATCTTCAACAATCCATGCTTGTCGTTAAAGGCGACTAACGGGGTCTGGTTGTCAGGTTGACAAATGTCATCGTACCAAACCGCTCCCAAGGAAGTGATCTGTAACCGTATATATAGCTGTACCTTGACCTTGTTCAGATTATCTTGGATGTGAATGCAGGTCAGATGTGGGAAATGCGAGCTGAGTTTGAACCGTCTTCTATTTTTATCTTTCGGTTTACTTTTCTCAGATGATGACGCAATCGCCAAATCCCTGTTTGAGAAGGAGCGCGTGCTGTGCTGGATAATGACGTCACCACAGAACCTAGAGTCAAAAGCACGTGTAGTTCGCGATACGTGGGCTAAACGTTGCAACAAGGTTATTTTCATCAGTTCCACAACAGATCCGAAGTTTCCAACAGTTGGCTTAAAGGTCGCTGAAGGCCGAGAGCATCTAACAGCCAAGACAATGCTAGCCTTTCGTTATATTTACGAGAAACATTTTAACGACGCTGATTGGTTCATGAAGGCTGACGATGATACCTATGTTATATTAGAGAACCTCCGATACTTCTTAACGTCGCAGAAGAAGACGGATCCTGTATATTTTGGCCACCATTTTAAGACAATCGTCAAACAGGGTTACTACAGCGGCGGAGGGGGGTATGTACTGAGTAAGGAGGCTTTGAAAAGATATGGAAAGAAAGGTCACGACCCAAACATATGTCAACAAGATGGCGGAGCTGAGGACGTAGCGTTCGGCAAATGTATGGCGAATCTGGGGGTGAGGACAGTCAACTCTACAGACGCCCTGGGGAGGAGCAGGTTCCACTGTTTCGAACCTGAGGCCCATCTGTTTGGAGTCTACCCTGATTGGTATTACAAATACGATGCCAATGGTGCCCAAAAGGTATGTACATATTTTATCATTATCAAACATTTCGAGCATATGACTTCCTGGTTGCTACTGTCCTGTTGAGTAAACTACGGTTATGACGAACGTGTTTATTCCGAACTTACTCATACAACGAACTCTTTTATTTGTCTGGGTGTTTTATACCGGCCACTAACTTTTTATTTTAAGTGGAAATGCGTATAACGACCTTGCTCGTCACGCCGAAGACCATGTTCAATTCCCAACATGGGTGCAATTGATGAAGCCCATGACCCCAGACCGTGTTGCTGCAATATTGCTAAAAGCGGTGTAAAACCATACTCACTCACTCATATAATCTCAAAACGTCTATCACCTCACCTCACCTCACCTCACATATGGGGCGGTGGGGTTGCCTAATGGTTAAAGCGTTGGCTCGTCACGCCGAAGACCCGGGTTCGATTTCCCACATGGATACAATGTGTGAAGCCCATTTCTGGTGTCCCCCGCCGTGATGTTGCTGGAATATTGCTAAAAGCGGCGTAAAACCAAACTCAGTCAGTCAGTCAGTCACCTCGTATATAACCTCAATATTAGGGAGTTCACCTCACCTCACGAACTCATGTGATCTCATTATGACGTTGATCACCTTACCTCACCCCACCTCACGATTTTATGTGATCTCATTGTAAGAGACTCATGTGATTTCATGTGATCTCACCCAATCTCATGAATGTCAAGTACCGTTATGTATTTCTTTTGTTGCCAAGACTGGTGAAGCGTTTTTGTAGCAACTGTCTCCTTTTCAAGATATGGTTTTCATTTCAGGGAATAGACAGCATCTCCGACTATGCCATATCCTACCACTACGTGCCGCCACAGAAGATGTACGCTCTGGAGTTTTACATCTACCACTTACGACCGTATGGCATTGTGTCCGGCACTCAAAATCTCAACAAAAAACACGAGAAACCCGGAACTCAAGCTCACTAGACATGCGTACTGGTACCCGGAAGTCAAGAGAGACATGAGTAGTGGCACAACATTATTACTGTGATCTGTGAAATATGTTGAAATCAATAACGCTTTTCAATGTGATTTAGTTTACTGGTGCCAGAATCTGGTGAATTTCTGTGATTACTGATTACCGGCTTAGCTGATGACGTCATTCGTTATTTACGTTGATCATTATTATCATCACCACATTGGCTGACTGACTGAGTTTAGTTTTACGCCGCTTTTAGCAATATTCCGATAAAACGATAGAGCGAGAAAACGATATAACAAGGCGCGAAAGCGATAGAGCGAGAAAGCGATAGAGCGAGAATGCGATATAACAAGGCGAGAAAGCGATAGAGCGAGAAAAGCGATAGAGCGAGAAAGCGAGAAAGCGATAGAGCGATATTTCCCATAATTCTGCCCTGTCTGCACATGACGTCTTGCCTGCCTATGAATTAATCCAACAGGAGGCTTTATTAGCATTTGGTTTAGTCGCATAGAAGCAAAATGAACATGCTTTCAAATTCTTTGGCATTTTTGTAATTAATCCTTTAACTTGTCCAAACAATAATCCAACAATAACTATATTTGGTCCAGACTCTATTATTTACAGACCGCCGCCATATAGCTGTAATATTGCCTAGTGCCTGCGGTGTTAAACAACAGACCAACCAAACCCACTCCCCGGGCTTTATTGTATCAGTGATGGAATTTTATACACCCTGTGCCTTTCATCTGGTCTTTTTATGTGTGCATATTTCACACATATATATTTCAACTTTTATGTGAAAAAGGTATTGTTCTAAATGTATGTGCCATAGTCTCTCATACTTCTACAAGAATGGCTTGTGTACGTATATGTCTGTCTGCCCCCATATCCCAACTATCGACTTGAGACAGTGCCACAATTCATCGACCGACGTGGTAGGTGTGTTTAACAAAAACGTAATAAAATTATTACTTGGGGAATAAAGCACTATATCATAAAACACCTGTATATTGAAAATAATTTAGTTTAGATTAGGAGTTGAGAAGTTGGACGTAAGAGGGTTGGGAAGTTGATTGCGTATAAGTTCAACTAAGTAAGTAGTGTAAAGTATACTGAAAGCCATTAAAAACGCAATTGGTATTTGTTGTCCTGAAACTTACAAAAGTTCTATTGAAGATTTTTTCCTGCGATACAGAGGATGTAGGGTTAAAAGGCTGTTATTCTGGCCCATTTCGAGTTCGAGTCCCAGAGCATTCCTCTCACATGAACTTTGATACTTAAAACTGAACCTTTGACATTTCTCGTAAACACAACCACATTCATGAAACACGTTGTGCACATGCATTACCTGCACCCAGGCCCTGTAAAAGCACAAGGAATTGTGGAACTCAATCACTTTGAGAAAATGCCACACTTGACACAAGACGAAAGAAATCAGGTTATCGGTATGGTCAGCCAAGGTGCTTCAGATGTGATGATTGCCAGGCACTTTAATGTGCATCCACTGTAAGTCGACTCAGACAACGTTTGTGGGCTACCGGAAGTGTTGCTGATCGTCCGCGACCTGGTGCACCACCTGTGATAACAGCTCGACAAAACCGCAATATCCGAGTTTCACACTTGCGAAATCGGTGCCAAACAGCTGATGATTAGGCAAGGAGGACAATTGGGACAAGTCAACGTCATTTCAGCGCCCAAAAGGTGCAAGGACGCCTTGCTGCCTTCAACATCCGGTGTCGTCACCCGTACCGTGGTCCAACCTTATTGCATCGCCACAGACTTGCCAGACAACGATGGGCAGCAAATGGGGCCAGTCTTGGCAACAGGACATGGCCAGATGTCATGGATTCAGATGAATCCAGGTTTAACTTATCCTTTGCAGATGGACGTCCACATGGTGGCGGAGTGTAACAATATATTGTAGAAAATCAGTTCTTGGTATAACATGTCTATTATCTAACTTTTGTTAGAAGAAAACTTGGGGGAAAAGATGGGTTTTGATAGATATTTTGATGGCAGAACGGGTTTAAAATTAGCGGACCAAAACGTCGCTTACATTATAATAAAGAAGTTGTATATCCATATAACTTTCCCCGTTGTTCAGCACACCAACTTCTAAATGCCATCCAAAGAAGTTCACTATATATGGCTAGACCAGCGTTTAACTGCGTACTATTTTCAGCTTTGATTAGACGAACGTTTGACTGCATCGTTTTATTTGCTTAGATTACACCATTGACTGTGGAATGGTTCTGTTACTACATTGAGGTACCAAGGTGCTTTACTGTACGTGCGTCTCCTCTATCTTTGGGTAGGAGCGATTTAGGTTCATGTAGGTGATGTAGATCTTCAGTTAATAAATTTCATCGCCTTTATTAATTCAAAAAAATACAGCTGTATTTTGATCACCCTGAAATACAATAAAGTGACATAAACATAAATGGTTAAGGTCCCATACCTCATTTCTAATTCCTTCACCTATAACCAAACAGCGAGAACTGATAATTATTATAGAATTGTCTACATACGGCTCATTTATAGTGTCACATACTTCAAAACTCTCTGAATGAGATGTATATGTAATAAACTGAGCTGCAAAAGAAACGCAAGTTCCAATTTGTTTGAAATGTAAGTGTAACTCACTTTCCATTAAGTAGGAATTGAAATGATGGCGTACAATATGGCGTCACAAAACCATCAACATTGAACCTAAAACATGAATAGTGCTCTTAGGCGACATATATTGCAAATCACACACTCACTCAGTGATTTTATTCTAGGATGATGGTTTGGATGTGGTTGAATGTCTTAGTGCAGGCCACTATCACCATGAAAATATACTCGTCACAATGCCTTATTTGTCATAGGTCCCTCCCTTTCATCTGGCACTTCCGACACATTTGTCACACAATATCATAATTTATATAAAACCATAGAAAAGAACCAGTCAGAATACAAAATTCGTAAACTTTTGGAAGCAGTACACATCAAGAAGATAGGATCCGCCCTCAACAGAGATGAAGGATACTACATTCCCAATGCCTACCATCACTTGATAAAGTAATCAATAATATTTCTTGTGTACATTATCTGTTTCAATTCAACTATGTCCACCAACCCCATCATTGTATATACATCGACCTGGGCCCCATTCCTCAAAGCGATCGTAGTGCTACGATAGTCGTAAGTCCATGTTAAAGTATGGGAGTTACGATCATCTTAGCGCTACGATCGCTTTGAGGAACGGGGCCCTGGCTTCCTATCAGTTGTATAAGTTCTAATTCAGTCCTTGTATATCACCCTTCTGGCTTCCAATCAACTTACTCAATCTCTTATACAAGCGTTGTACATCAACCTCATCTATTGTATAAACAACTCATTCCCTATCTTCTGTAACAACAACTCCTGTATATATTCTCTCAATTTGTTACTCATGTATCACTTGCTTGACAACGACATTAGAACCTATGTCGAAACGTCGCCTCAACAGAATTAAAGAGTTGTATATCCATAATAATTGTCATTATTCTTCATCAACCCAACTTCTAAAATGCCCATCAAAGAAATAATTCAATTGGTTGGTGTGATTAAGTTGGTTAAGACAATTCGAATCCAGTCGTGTCATGAAATACAGTATGTAATTCCCTTAGTCACATCACAAAATGAACGTTTCCGTTATTTCACGATATTACTATTACATACGTGCAAATTGCATGACAAAGGAAAGTCTACATCTGTAGTAGATATTCTGTAAACGTCAAGTCATACAACGCCATTCATGGGCAGGAACATTACTGAAAACCATTTAATACTATCCAGAAATTACGATGGCGACTGAGCTCCCGTTTGTAGACGATCATGCGCAGACAGGACTGAATTGTGGGTAATATCGCTTTCTCGCATTCTCGCTCTATCGCTTTCTCGCGCAATGATATCGCTTTCTCGTCTCGTGCTATTTTCTCGTCTCGTGCTATCGCTTTCTCGTCTCGCGTTATCGCTTTCTCGTCTCGTGTTATCGCTTTCTCGCCTCCGAATTTTAAGGCGAGAAAGCGATGGCCCTAATCAGCCACCACATTGTGCCCATGTGGGGATTCGAACCCGGGTCTTCGGCGTGACGAGCCAACGCTTTAACCACTAGGCTACCCCACCGCCCCCATCACCACATTGAAGTTGTAGACACAGAGCGAAGGCGGTTGGTCGATCAGTTAAATGTAGAACGTCAGTGCAAAAGGATATCCAGTCTTGACTATCCTCGATCACAAAGGGGTGGCAGGGTAGCCTAGTGGTTAAAGCGTTCGTTTGTCACGCCGAAGCCCCGGGTTCGACTCCTGACATGGGTACAAAGTGTGAAGCCCATTTCTGGTGTCCCCCGCCATGATATTGCTGGAAAACTGCTAAAAGCGGCGGGAAAATACAGTCACTCACTCACTCACTCAGTAACAAATTCCGTTTGGTGTGAAAATTATGTAAATGGATCACTGAAAATCAGGGATGACACCGGGTGTTAAGGGTAGCCATGTCCACGTCTACCGGTGGCACAAGCCATTCACAAAACTTGCCTAAAAGTGGTACCTTCTTTGAAAAGTGATACTGCATACGAGGGTGGCCTGTAAACAAACACGACAATCTGGTGATCGATGAACCGGAAAACATAGATAATTTGGAATTGCAATCCTTGGATCTGGAAGCTGCAGAGGCGGGTTCGACACCCAAAACAGGTGTCAAAAACGCAAAGGCAACTTCTGGAGTTGCAGCACCATATGACTGAAATGCTCCCTAAAGGGGCGTAAAAATCTTCGTATTTACCCATTCACCTTTGGGTTTTATTATCTGAAAACTGGCTTTTCTACAAACCGAACATATATCAGGCAGTCCGTATTTCGAAACCCGTGACGATGCGGGCTAGACTTTGGTCTTCAGCAACCCATGCTTGTCGTTACATAAGTGGCGACTAACGGGATCTGGTGGTCAGGCTCGCTGACTTAGTTGACATCGTATCCCAATTGCGTAGACCGATGCTCATGTTGTTGATCACTGGATTGTCTGGTCGTGAATCGATTATTTACAGACCGCCGCCATATAGCTGGAATATTGCTTAGTGCGGAGTAATACAACAAACCACACCAAACCGTATTTCGACACAAAACAATGACCGATATCAGGAAATG